AAGACGAATGTGGTCGGCGCTAAAGCGAGAGTCGCATTCGCATAATGCTTACACTCATGCTAATTTAAAGCGGTGAAGCCCTGATGCACTGAAACTTATGAAACAACCCCATACCCTTACCATATGGGCAATCTTGGAACCATAATGGAGACGCATTAGGAACCCGCGTGACTCGTTCCTCTTCTTTCCCATGATCCTTTCCCCGCCTTTCCCCCTTCCCTCTCCTCTCTCTCCTTCTTCCTGCGCCCTCCGCCACCCGACTTCTTCTTGCCCCTCACCTCGCTCTCTTTCCCGCGCGTCCTACCTAATCGCCGTTGCCCTCCCTCCCACTGCCCCTCGCCCGCGCCCGCGCCCGCTCCCTTGTCCGCCCGCTCCTGCCGCGCGCCCGCGTTTGCGTTTGCGCAACCCCCGCGCGCCAGAATCACCCGACGCTTGCGGGCGTTAGCCTGCAAACGCCCGCAAACGCCAGCAAACACCTGCAAACACCTGCAAACACCTGCAAACACCTGCAAACGCCTAAAACGAAGCAAATTGTAAGCAAATTGCAAGCAAAAAGTAAGCAAATTGAAGCACAATGTGCTTCAACGGGGTCAATTTGCTTCAATTAGCTTCAATTTGCTTCAATTTGCTTCAATTTGCTTCATTGGTTTAGCTTGTTGCATGCGTCGCGTTGCTGGTTACCCGCGTTTTTTTAAGCTCAATGACCTTACAGTTTGCTTCAACGACCTTACTTTTTGCTTCAACGACCTTACTTTTTGCTTCAACGACCTTGACGTTTTGCTTCAACGACCTTGACGTTTTGCGTCCACACTCGTGTTTTTTAAGCAAAATGTAAGGTCGTTGAAGCAAAATGTAAGGTCGTTGAAGCAAAATGTAAGCAAAATGTAAGCAACATGTAAGCTAAGTGGCGCGATCGCCAACGACGTTTTGCTTCCGCACCCGCATTTTTTAAGCAAAATGACGCGACCACGACTCGCGTTGACTCATGCGCGTCGTGTTTTTAAAAGCAAATTGTCAAGCGCGCGAGTTAAGCATCTCCCACACCCCCCACCCACCCACCCCCACGCACCCCTTGCGCCCATGCCCACTGCCCACTGCCCGCGCGTGCCCTAAGTACCCCCCCCCCCCCCCCTCCGTCTCCCATCTACCCGCCCTCCCCTTCCCCCATCGCCCGCCCGCCACCCGCCCGCCTGCCGCCCCGCTTGCTCCCCCCCCCCCGCCGCGCACGCCCAGCGCCCGTTCCACCTCATGGCGCGTTTTTTTTTGTCCTTGCGCACCCTGGCCGCACGTGTCCTCCTAGGTGCACCTCCTCTTCTCTTGCCCTGCCACCCTCCTGATTACCGCCATCTCTTGCCACCTTCGCTCGTACCCATCTTTTCCACAGTTCCGCCCTTTTGAAATGTAAGAACACGTCTAACTAGTGGTGGGCCTTCCTGGTGGGCCATTGGGCCACTTGGAGCCGACTCGGGGCGACCTCGGGGCCCCCGAAGCATCTTGAAAGCCATATTGGGCAATCTTGCGTTATATTATTGGGGCATATTGGATGTGCCATTGCAGTGCATGAAGCACTCTTGGAGCAATATTGGGCAATCTTGGGCGCTCCGACGCGTCGCGGACCACCTCGTCTAGGTTCACGGTGGGTGGTCGGGGGGGAAAGACTAAACCTTTCCCGCAGGGGAGAATGAGGCTTAGGGGAGAAAGCGACATTAACCGCCTGCCCCTGAATTGCTGGTGAAACAGATTGGCCCTGGCACTGGCGCATGGCCTTCCAGTGCATTCCCGCCAGCCAGCCCCCCCCCCCCCATTCCATGCCACTCAGCCTGGGGCCTATTTGGCTCAGCATGGCAGTTCTGGCGGCCCTGCCAACGCATTTGGAGCCATTTGAACGCGAATTTCTCCAACTCCGAGCGGAAAGATCTGAAGATGGTTTTAAGTTTGTGTTGACCCTTCTTGCGCGGCGAGTGGACGATCAGCGGACGAAGCTGACCAGGTCCGCTTTGGAGGATATTGTTGATGTGCTCAGAGACAGGGTGCCGTTTCCACTTCGGAACGCTTCGCGTGCTTTCGCCAACTCATCCAGGGCCCATCTCCGCGTTGTTTGTAGTTGGTTTGGGCGCGCGGTCACGCATTGTTCTGGGTGCGTAGCTGAGGCAGCCCTAGGCAATGTAATTTCCCCAGGGGCGTGGGTAGGTGAAGAATATGGGGAAGGGGGGGGGACAACCTCGTTGCATAATTTGGGTGGTGAGGCGGTTGCTTAAAGAAACAACGCTGCACGCCACTTCGGGCCAAAAGGCTCGTGGGATTCGACCGCGGCTGCCAGTAGATGAGAACCGCACGTTTGAGATTGACAGTGGGCTTGTTGAACGCTGCGCACCCGACGCGTTTTCTTATTCTTGGCGATGGTGGAACATGGACGTTGAGTGGATTCAGTCTGAGAGCTCGCGCCATCATACGTTCCCACTGCCGATTGCTAGACTAGGCGCGGGCTTGGCCAACCAATGCGAATATGAACACGTCATCTCTATCACGGCTTTGTGGCATATAGACAGTGGCTCTGTCGAGACAGATTCCGACCCCCCCTTCCCCCCCTTCCCCCCCTGCGCTTGTTCATTTGGTCGCGCATCCACGTTTCACCGAGTAGTAGCTATAGCCCAAACGCGCCGACGTGATTTAACAAAATAATGCGCGCGTCGGGGGGCGAAACGGGAGTGCGCGCTGGTCAAACCCAGCTGTCCCAGCCAGCCCAACCAGCCAGCCCAACCAACCCAACCAGCATAGCCACCTATCTAGCCAAACTTGCCCACAAACGCAACACCGCCGCCCAGCCAGCCTGCAAACCTGCGCTCACTTCGTAAGGAATGAGTGGCGGTCTGCCTGACACGGGGTCGCTAGCGCTCATGGTTAACAACAATAACGTACATATGTGGCAGTTTCTAGAAGGCTTGGGGGTTCCACCATCTCACTTGCACAAGCCTTTGAGAAGCTTAGTGCAATCTGGCTCTGCCGCTGAACCAATCACGGGCACATGCAGCAATGGCCGTCGCCCGCTCTTCAGGATGTTTATGTGCTCGGTGCTGTATTTCCTAGGCCTTCTGTCGTGGATCCTGCAGTGGAAGTCGAGAGTCCTCTCTCTAGTTAGGGCGTCTTTTCTTATTCTGCAGCAGCTAGACAACGTGCTTCCTGGGGCGTTTACAATATACTTAGGCGACGGCATCTGGCTGCCAGTGCACGGGCGCCACATGGATTCAGGGTCTGTTCTGGTTGTGCTTGCGTATGTGGGGCGTGCTGCATCGTGGCATGATCTTGGAATTGAGTTGCCCCGCCTGGACGCAGTTCGGCACGTTCCGTTCCATTGCGTGCTGTTTGCAGTGATGCGCGCCAGTAACAGCGGAGTTGCTGCCATGAGGGTGTGCAAAACTTGGATTTCAGCAATTGCTAAGATGGTTGATGCAAGTAGTTGGGGTGGTACCTTATCCTCTGAGTTGCCTGCTATCCGCCTTCCCCGTGATTGTGATTCAGCATTCAACGTTCAAGCTGCCGCGCGGGGGGACGATAAGTTCTTGGTGACGGTGAATCGTTTTCTAGTCAGACGCACTTGTTACAGCAGGTCCGAGGATATTTTGTTCCAGGACCTGCGGGGTGATGGGCGGGGAAGGGAGGTATGACGGGCGACCAGATGAGTTGGCATCGCAATGGGGAAGCAATGCAACGGGCGCGGGGGTTGACATGAGTATGCGCCTCCAGTGCTTGGCAACTGTCGGACATAATTGTGATGTCGCGCGTTTCATGTCGTTCTTCGGCGCTTGATCCGCGTGATCGGGCCAGCCGCTGACTGCGGCGATTGGCGCACGCAATTGGTGCCGACATGTCAGAACAGTGGCGTTCTCCCGTTGTGCGCCGAATAGGCTGGCCTATAGAGGCCCAGCCCACTCTTAGCAACACTGCCCCACTGCGTGCGATCACAGGAATGTCTCGGGTCTGGCGTTGCGCGGCCATGTTCACCTTGGCGTATTGACGCTCACTTGCAAGTTCCCGATGTGGTTTATATCGGTGCACATTGCTGTACGTGTGCGTTGCATTGCCCCCTAGTTTGCCCACGCAGTTTTTGCATTGATTCATGGTTATCTTGACTACGATGGTGTTTTCCAGTGAGGCCTCAGGCGGGCCCGTGGCAGAAGGCTAACTAAAGACATGTGACAGCGTAAAGGCGACCGCGATCAGTGTACCGCGGCTCGGAGAGGCGCATATTAACAGCAACATGCCAGTAACACGCACATTGCCGCATCGGCATTAGCATCCATCGGTGTAGTGTAGCATGGGGCACACCAAGGCATATTGCATACCCGACTAGTACAACCTAGAGTGTCGCAGAGTGGTGTGTGTTCGAGCATGACAGGGGTAGGATGACTGTGCAGATAGAATATGGCAACGGTGGTGGTAGTAGTGGTGATGTACACTATACGCCATTGTAAACAAGAGTAGAATATCGTCGCTTCGAATTGCGCAACGAACAAAGATGACTATAACATTTGTAATGAAATAACCTATTGACTAAT